ACTGTCTTTTTCTATTTTGCAGTAACCCGGACACATGCTCATGTGCCCTATCAGAAGTGTGTTACATCTATGTGCAGCCAGTCTTAAGGTAACAGCACAGGTCTCGTGTTTGGAGAACTGCAGTTGTATGTACTGAGCACCTACTACGTGCCAGGCTCTGCGGAGTACAGAGGACACAAGAATAAGGGAGAGACCTCTTCAGCCCTCATGCGCTTCCATTCTGAGTCGGACAATAAACAAGATGAACACGAAGTGAGAAGGGAAGAAACAGTGCTAGTGCGTGTGTGTGGAGGGTGGGGGGTTATGCAGTTTTAAATCAAGGTATCAAGGAAGGCTGGGTGTCCTCAGAGTGACACTCTTGCTCTGGCTCAGCCTCACTGAGATGACAATGAATAAAGAACCAAAGGTGAGGGACACCATGTGGACATAGTAGGCCCATTCAGGGCAGAGGGAGGTGCCAGTGCAGAGGGCCAGGGCTGCCAAGCACGGAGCTGCAGGGAGGACACTGGCAGAGCCAGAGGCAGGCATTAGGTAGGGCAAGTGTGGAGTCTGCAGGCTGCAGAAAGAGCTGAAACGATGTGGCATTTTCCAGGTCTTCTCCAAGGGAAATTGTTCTGTTGGCCTTGTCCTTGCCCTTCTCCTCGGTTGTGGCCCCAAGGGGTACAGGTAGCCTGCAAGCATCTGAGAAAGCAGCACAGCCCCAGGAGCAGGACTGGCGTCAGCTGGGCAACTCAGCTACAGAGCATTCCCAGCCTGCTTCCCCCATGGTCCTTGCTGCTGTGAGCTCAAGCCATTCAAGTTCTCAGCTGTCCACCACCTCCCTCCCTGGTTCTCTCCCAGGCCTGGGTACTCTCCTGTGAGAGCTAAGGGACAAAACAAGCAGCCCACTCCCGAAAGGAGGAAGTGGGAGCCTATTTCAGACAGAACCTGTCACTGGGTCTGGGTCCCTGGGGCTGTCAGTCTCACCTCTGTGCCCGCCCCTTAGCTAAACTGCCATGGAAGTTTTCTGGAAAAAGCCAGCCAGGCTTGGGTTTGGGGGCCTCTGAGAGCTCTGGCGTCTACTTTCTGCTCCCTGGGTTGGTGTTTGCATTTTTGGTGAGACCTCTGCCACAGGAGTGCTCCTGTTCCCGGGGTTCATCCTCACTTCGTGGAGGGTGCCCAACTCCCCCAACTCGTGTTCCAAAACGACCCCTACTGGGTGGGGGTCCTTCCTCCCCACGGCTTCCCAGCCATTTCATCCCCACGAAGTCATACACAGCAGAGAGCCGCATCCTCCACCCTCTGGGTTTCCATGGAAACGGAGCGTTCTTTCCTCCTTCCCGCTCTGTTTACCTTGGTCAGGGACTGGCAGAAACCAGCTTGTTGGGGAAGGAGAGGTGGGCGGGGGCGAGCAGGAAGGAGGGAGCCAGCCCTAAACCTGATCATTCTGGTTCCATGTGTAGCCGCCCCCCCCCCCATCTCAGCCCTGGGCACCGCGGAGGAACCACTTGGGGCTGTGGAGGAAGAGGGGGCTCCTGAGAGTCCGAGCCTGAGTGCCAGCTCTAAGTGACTGGACCGAGTCTCAGGTCCTGCAGCCAGGGGAGCACTGACTAGGGCAGAGGGCAGGGTAGCACTGGAACACCTTCTAGGGTGCCACCCCAGGGTGCTGGACAGCTGCTATGACCTGTAGGTGTCACTATGCCATGAGCCCTGTGCAGGCCAGGCTAGGCCAGGGGGAGGGAGCTGAAAGCCCGCCCTTGCTCCATGCCTGCGGCACTGCTGTGTCTGGTGACCAGTCCTGTGACCCCACAAGGACCTTCGGTGCGGCCCTTGGTTTAAAGCTTCCCGCCGCGCTTAGGCTGTGAGCCAAGGATTAATCCAGCTGTCTGCAAGCCACTCACTGCCCTCCATCCTCGCTTCCCACGCCTCTTCCTGGGGTCCCCAGGGGCCCCCTCAGTAGGCGCCAGAAGTGAGGTTTTGTCTTAGGAAATGGGTGCAGCGCGCTTTCTCACCCCTTCCTAGCCCTCCCCCCATGCACACTGGCTTGGTTCTCGAGGCTCCTGGTTGCTCTCCTCTTCCTCAGTTGCTCAGTGTGAGCCATCGCACTGTCCCACATCCCCGGCACTGGACAGTTACTAGGTGCTGTTAGCAGGGCCCCGCCATCCCCAGGGGGCAGCAGAGAAGCCACACAGGTCTGCTTCTTGGCGATGCCTTAGCCGGAGCACCTTAGCTGGCCATCTTGCTACAACCTGAAAACCAGGCCTCTGATCCCCGGCGATGTGGTCAGTGGTCAGCGGGCATTGGGCAGCCGTGGTGCTTTGAGGACCCATCGCCCACTTCTAGAACACCCTCCCTACCCGGCCCGAGGATTCACCGCCCGCCCAAGCCCTGTCCCCATCACCACCACCCCAACCCCAGGTTCCCTTTAAGGGTCCTCAGCCAGGCAGCCGGTTAGGCGCAGGGGCTTGAGCGTTTTTTCAAGTCAGACCTCACAGGATCACAGGTGGGCACCTTCCTCCAGGATTGGAGGGTCTGGAAACCTCCTTGGCAAAGCACTTACCTTGGCTGGCCTTGGCCTACCAATCTATGAAATGGGGCTAAGATCTCCAGGCTTAGGTTGCAGTACAGGTTTGCTGAGGAGAAAATGCAGATGAAAATGCTGTGCTACATGGCAGGCCGACATGACAGGACAAAGGCTGGGCTCTCCAGTGTGATGGGGTTCAGGTCAGGGGGAAAGCTGGCAGTCTAGTCTTGGGCTCCCTAATTTGCAGGTAACTCTGAGCAGCCTCTGTGCCCATGATTCTTGGGGACCACATCTTTGTGTGCTGCTGAGGGTGGGAAGATGCTGACACCTGAACCATAACCTGAGTGTGGCCGTCTCGGGGTAAAGTTCTGGTAATAAGACCCTGGATGCACCAGGTGCCTGGATGGTCTGGGTGCAATTCCTTGGGGTTTAAAGTGTATGCTCCCTTAGAGGGGTCAGGGGAGATTTTGGACACATCCTTGCACTTCCTGAGCCCCTGAAGCCAGGAAGCTTTAGGTGGAAGATTCAAAAAGGATAAACTGACCAGTCTGTCCCCTCTGAGGACTAATGCCAGTAGCTTTCTCCTCCTGGCCATTTCTAGTACTGCTCTAAAGCTCCTGGCCTGGTGTGGGGGGTCCCCAAAATGTGCCCAGAGATCCTGGCTATCTCTGGCTTTTTCCCCAGGCCTGGTGCTGTGCTGGAGGGCCTACTGACCTTCCTTCCTGCAGGGGCTGTTGAGCTCCTGCAGAGGTACCCGCCAGAGGAGCTGAGAGAAGCAGCTCACTTGGCAGTCCCTGTGTCCATGTAGGATGAGCAGATCTGTGGGGTCTGCTTGTTGTGTACTCAGGAGCCTCTTCCTCCCACCTGGCTGTGGAGTATATGAAAAAAAAAAAAAAACCTCTTCCTAAAATATGTTCTTGCTTGATTTTACAAATGGAAAGAATAGTGAGGAATAGGCTTTGGGCACCAGGATAAAATCACACTTAAAACTTGATGGACAGTATTATTTTTCAAAATCTCAGCTTCCCTTCCATTTTTTCCTACCATCAGCCTCTAGGACTCGAAGACTCCAAAATGCCAGTCAGGCTCCATTTGAATCAATGAGGAGCTTCACGAAAACTCTCGCCATGGCCTTTGAGTCACCCAACCCTTTACAGCTGGACTTGGAGAACAAATTATTTAATGTTGCTAGAAAATACAGCTTCTCTGCCAGCCCCAGGACAGACTATCATGACTGAGCTGAGAGCAGACCTCTGCTCTCCCAACCCCTCAGGTCATCATCTCCTTTTAGAACTGCACTAATAGGTGGCCACTAGCTGGCCACTAGCCATGTAAGGGTATTCACATTTAAGTAATTAAAATTAAGTCAGTCAATTAATTCACAGTTCAGTTCCTAAGACACACTGGGCACCGCTGAAGTGGTCAGTAGCCACATGTGGATAGTGGCCGCCACAGTGCAGACACAGGCCATTTCCATCAGTGCAGAGAGCTCTGCTGGTCTAGGACGTGGGCCTTGCATCTGAAGTTAAGATGGAAGCTGGATAGCTTTACCAGCATCCTCTCCCACCAAGGAGTGACTGCAGATTAACTGCAAGAGAAAGCGCTTGTGCTGTTCAGTTACAACAGCTTAGTACCTGCATTTTGACAAAATAGAATTTTATAAATGTAACAGGAAAAGCAAAACGACCTAAACCAACTAAGCCACTGAAAGTGAGGGACATATACTTTCGAAGAGGTAAGAGAAATAGACCAAAGGAAAGAACACCTCTCTGGATAATATGTGTGATGGGCAGAAATTGTTTCTCTTTGTCCTTACAGATTACAGATTTACTGTGTGATATTTAAGATTATTTGTCCTTGGAAAGGGATGTTTGATCCAATAGTCACCCAATGGAAACACCAGAAAGTAAGAAGTGCATGTGCCATTCTGGAAGGGAGACCTTAGAAGTGAGTAGACTTGGGGTGCCCTTACCTACTCTGGACTTCACAGATGTGGGAGGTGTACTGCTGGCAGGGCGGTTGGATGGGAATTGGCACAAAGTGGAGGTTTTGGAGAAGGAAGCATCTGGAAGACCAAGACCAGTGGTAGGAACTGTGCTCTCATCCCCAAAGGACCCCGGCACAGGGCTCAGCTCCCACCAGGCCTTTTCCCTTGGATCACAAAGTCCTGTGACTCTGTACTTACTTTTAAATTCCCTGTAGCTCCTCTAACCCATAAGGAAAGTATAGATAAACCCATACAAACTTGTCCAGCAGAGTGTGGCCTACCCACAGTTGTTCCCTTGCTGATGGCCTTACGGAGGTAATGACCATGTATCCCTAAGTTCCAGATGGTCAGCAGACAGAAGAACCTGTGGCAGGACAAGGGGTAGAGGGTGGATGACTCGAAATATTAGAGAAAAGCTGACCCTGGTGGGGATAGTGAAGGGGGTGGCACAGATGCTTCTATCAAATAGGAAAGCTCACGTACACACAAATTATTTTCAGACAAGCAAGGTGGCCTTGAACCAAATAGATGTGAATAAGATTTATTGATCAGATTGTTTTAGAAAACCAACAGCAAAACACTGACAAGGTACATAAATACAGATTGGATGTTTCAAAGTAAATTCACTATATTTCCTACTTGCTTGTAGGAAACCAGGGAAGGTGGAAAAGCTGTCCTGATCATATGGCATGCACACCAGACTGCGAAAGGACTTCCACACTATTGAAGAGGACTGTGGCAAATAGCTTTAAAGTACGGCAAGCATTGTGTGTAGCCTCAGTATACCCTGCGGAAAGAGCGAAGCCTGGGCTCACCCCTCACAGACTGCATTTTAAAGGGAGGCTCCTCTTTCTTGCCTGGTTCTCCCAGCAGCTTGCCATTGTAGGTGCCATTACAGGGAGATGCCTGCGTTTCCCTGTGCAGCTCTGTGCAAGGCAGAGGCCTTAGGAGAGTCAGTGTGTTTTCTGATGCCTCCTTTATATTCCAGATGTGTAGCTAGGACAACAGCAGTCACTACCGTTTGGTGAAATTGGCTTTCTCTCTGAAAACTGCCTCTGACTCACTCTGTACACTGACTAAGCAGGGCTGGGAAAGAACTTCTCACAAGTTTTTAAAAATTAAAAACATGAAATTTACACCAAAAAGATGATATCACTTTTGAAGCACGACTTAGAACTTCTGTTTATAACACCAGACAAGGGAAGGTCACTGTCCACCAAGTCTCACAACCTTAGAAGGGAAATGCCACTGCTGGGAATGATCTGGTGGCAGCACATCAAGGCTGCAGAACTCCACAGAGCCTTCTAGGCCCTACCAACATTCCAAGAGTTCCAAGGTATTCAGGGAACCAAAATAATTTAAATTAATGTGACCAGTTTTTGGAACTTACAATCATAAGGCCATAAACCCTCATATACCCTGGAGCTCAATACCAGAAAAATGAAAGGAAAAAACAAAAAAGGAAAATGGCTGTTTGTGCTACATCAGCTTGCTGGCAGGTAGACAGTGCCACTCTAAACATCTATAAGAACACATAAGAACAAACTGGGCTTTTAGGGTATACAGATCAACACAGTCAGTGAGGATAATCCAAGCTTTCCTATATACCAGGCTATACAACTGGAGAAGGTATCACCAAAGGAAGAAACAAAACAGCAAAGATTTGTCAGGAGCCAAAGAAATCTGTTGAAATGATGGGATCCCCGTGCCTGTCACACAAAGCTTGTTTTCCCCAAAGGTGCTAAGAGTACTCTGGCGGTTTAGGGGAGCCAGCCTAGGACTTGCCAGGAGACAGTGCTCAAGACTGACACCTAAACTCAGGACCACCACCTGTGGCTCCTCACGGCAGCCCCAATCAATGGTCATTGCACGGACCAAGCACAGCGAAGTGGGCTGCGTATATGTTTGCTGGTTGCTAGCCCCTCTATGTCACCCCCTTTTCCAACTACTCATCCCATTGAAAAAGAGGTGCTTGTGGGAAAGGGACAGGGTAGAAAAAGAAATGTAAATGCATCAACTGTTGGACAGAAAATTGGAAACACTGATTAGCCATGGATTTCAGTTATCTGTGCTTTACTCTTGCCACTCTGGGTACCCAAAGGTTAATGTCAACATACCTTTTGCTTAGAAATGTTAATATATTTATTTTCATACTTTAAAATCTAGCTATGTGATGGACATAAATGGTGTAGAGAAAATCTGTTCACTGTGTCATCAGGGCCCTGAAAAAAGAAGATTCTGCCAGTAAAAAGGATTTTTTTGGCCTCTGAAGAAGGATTAAAATCTCAATCTATTCTATATCAGTTTATAGTATGTTCAGGGTATGGAAAATACTTTATAAAATGAGGAAAGCATAATTTTCATCATTTAATAAGGTATTACATTCCCAGATAAGTTAGTGTATATATGGGAGAAATGACAGCACTAAATAGTAGGTTTTAATTCTCCACTTAGCAAACGCCTTACAAGTGGACTTCCTTGTTCCTGGGTAGGACATACACACATGACATAGTACAAAGGTAATTGGGGAAAAAAATCTCAACTTTAACAAACCCAAGGAACGGTAAGTCTCTATGAACTGGAGAAAGAAAACATGGACTTGAAAATCCAGCTTTATCAAGAGCTGGCTTAAGCCAGGTGATCACACTGAGAATTCCTGTCATAATTTTATCTAAAGTAGTGAGCTGGTTTCCCCAAGACAGATACAAGAAAAAGCTAACTGTTTTATAGTCACACCCTGTATATAATCTGTATATATCCATATGTATTTCTATATATTGCACTTCAGTTTCCAGGACTGCAGGAAGAGGGGAGCACTGCAGAGAGGCAGAGGAGCAGTAGGTGTAACCTTTCCCACACCAAGTAACAGCGTTACTTGCTTCCAAGTGCTGGCTAGAGATACACTAAAGTGCCTGGCGACCCTTCTATAAAAGTCCAGTCACCCTCATTTAACTCCTCATTCACAGCCTCATTTGGTACTGAAAATGTGCATATGAGGGGCTTTACCATATTCCCAAGCTGGCTGTACCACAACATTTTCACTAGTGTGATAAGAAGACACTTTACACCAAGGACACGTTCTTTTCTGAAAATGTCACACATATTTTCACTTTGATGTCACTTCAATGCCAGGCCTCCAACATCTACCACAAAGAAGACTGCCCTCAGAAGGCTTTCAAACAAGATGCCAGCAAGCATGGATTGGCTCAGACCCCCGTCTCCAGCTTTCTGTGCAGCACAGCCAGAGACCTGCTCATGTCCTAAGGACCACAGAAGCCTAAATGTAGAGGCTGAGCATTCAGTCTTTGGTCCTTATATATTTCAATGCAAAAATCCTTTTTCCACCCTAATTAGCATCCCTTGTTTAGTTTGGGATATAATTCCACCAAATAGCCAGAGATCAGGCTGAAGTCATGCAGCAAGGCTCTGTTTTGAACTAGTGGAGCTGCTCTGACTGACTTGCCTAGCAGTGGGTAGTGAGAGGTTAAACCACGGGATTGGGAAATGGCAAGCTATAGGGGGAGTCAACCCCTAGGGGAGCTGCTCTTTTTTCTGCATCTTCCTCACACTCCTCACCCCCCAGGAAAAGGACCCAAACTCACAGATGAGTTCTTACAAGGCTTTGCAGAATACATGCTGTATGAACTCAACCCAACACGAATGGGATAGAATAAGACCTAGAAATTAGGAGTCCAAGTCTAGAGGCCACAGTTTTCTCTTCCCCAGAACTGAACACCAGATGGTAACTTGTTAGCCATAACTCAAAGGTATTTTAAATCTATACATAAGCCAAAGAGATCCCTTCTGGGGTAAAAGAAAAAAGAATTTTAAAAGCTGAGTGAAAAAGAGGCACTTAAAGGAAAAATGTGTCCCAAATCTCCCATGTGGGTGTCCAGTCATGAAGGGACCTTGGGTGGGTCAGCACTGTGCCTTCCCATGCCCCTTTGGCACCTTGAGAACACCTGCAGATGCCCAGATGCTCATGCCGAGCACCTTGCTCAACTCCTCTAGCAGCGTGATGTCAAAGCAAGTGAAAACATAGGTGATTTTTAGAACTAACAAAACAAATAGAACTAAATTTTCACACCAAAAAAAGCAAATGATACTCAGTTTCATTCCTTCCTTGTGCTAGTTTTTAAATGATTCTTGGCTCTTCAGAAAGGATGACTTGTGGCTTTTCTCTCAAACCTTTTATCCAATTACTAGACAAGTACGGCACCGTGCACACTGAAGCAGACAGCAAAGAAGGCAACAAGCTAAGGCGTAATCATGGGCCAACTGCCTGAGAGAATGGCAGGGACATGGTCCAGAGATTAGGACAGAAGCAAGTTCTGAGAAGGAAATGGCCAATATGACAGTCAAAGCAGAAGCCAAGTTAGCAAGTCCGAGGGGCGCAGGTGCTTGCTGTCCTGCTCTCCCCTCCATGGCCTTCACACTGCATATTTAGGGTCTACAATTCCCCATGAAAGAATTCAAAGAGATATTTAAAGCCATTACTAAGCATCAGAGAATTTAAAAACTGCCCAGAAAGAACTCTGACAACCATAAGTTTTTCAATTTAAAACTTTTTTGACAACCGTTAAGTTTCTCAATTTAAGAACAACACAAAGACTCTGACATGACATGCACAAGTCTTTTGACAAGCCAACTCTATCCACTGGTGGTACTATAAGGATGAGAAAAAAAAATCACTAACCAAGAGTTGCTGAGCTACTTCACCTTCCTCCAAAGCCAAAGGATAGGTTTAGGTACTCATGCAGTAAGATGTCAACTACTGCTGCCATTAGAGCCTGCTACTCTGATACATCTTGAAACCACCAAGTTAAACACCCAGGTTTCAGGATAACCTGCAAGATTGTAAAAGTCAGTCTTGTCATTCTATCCTCCAAACTACTACTTGCAGCTGTTGCTGGATTTTAAAATTTTACCTTTGTTGATAATTTGTGGAGCACTGGCTGACATGGTCAGTATGTTCAGAATTCCTTTTTTAAAACTCCTTTATCTTCTCTTGATTCATAAAATTAGTAAGGTACTTTCAGGCTTTCCCTCAACTCTATCAAGAAAAAGGGAATATGTGAATGAGTATATGAGTGTGTACTGGGGCAGGAGGGAAAGAAGTAAAGAAAAAGTGACGTAGGAAAGTGATATGTCTATAAACTTAACCAATTTATGGAAAGGCATCTGATGTATTTTCTGAATAAGGCCTTGATCAGGGTAACCAATCCTCTTTGTAGCACATTCTACACTGCCCATAAATAAAGGAGTCTCTTAAATTAACATTTCCAGTATCAATGAACAGTCCAGAAATCCTCATTTCAAGCGCTCGATGAGTCCCTGTGTTAGTCCAAGGTGCAGAAGCTGTGTTCGGGAGAGATTTGCTAGGTTGGGGAAGGCCGCGAGCAGCTTCTCCCATGCCAATTCCAGCAGGTTAGGCACCACCAGCCAGATCTTAAACAATGACCCAGTCCGTTTGTTTTCGTGGATGTTCACCACTCCTCCATGAATGTACATGCAACCAGCCTATGAACAAATAGCAGTCAAAAGAGGACACATTCTAACAGGACAGAAATAGATATCAACGCTGAAGGCTCAGCAAGAAAAGGAAAGGAAAAAAAAAGCATAGTAGATTGAATCAAGATGACCTGAAACAAAAAGTTTCTCAGGCTGGGGATGTAGCTTAGTGGTAAAGTGCTTCCCCAGCATGCATGAGGCCCTGGGTTCAATTTCCAACTCCAGAAGAATTTGTCACTGATCCCAACATAGGCAGAGATCAAAGAGAGTTGAAATAATACAGGAAAATTTAAATAATAAGGAAAAAACTACAGTTTGTGTTTTTTTTTACGTCAACAACTTTACTTTCTATTCACTAACATTAAACTTAGACTATATTAAGTATCCAAAGTCAAGTGCTGGGAACAAAGATGAAAATAAAGGTCTTTGCAGTGGTATCATAATTCAATAATATGGTGTCAGAGGTAAAGCTATTATATTCTCCCAGGAAACACCTTTGATAAAACTGTCAGGGCCTAAAATGCCACATGTAGTGTTTCTTTTATATTTACAGTGTTCTTCTAATTTGGATACAATGGTATTTTCCTTGCCTTTTCTCTGAGGAAGAGCAAGCTTCAATAGGAAGTTAAAAAAAAAAATTCTTAATCCAAGGTTTGCCAATATCAGCATCTTTTTTCTTGCTAGTATCTCTAAAAAGATTTGCTTATCATCTACAACTATGAAAGGAAAATATGAAAATAAAAACTTACTGGTGTAACAGCTGCACAGTGAAAATAAACTGGCTCTGGCATGGTAGCGGGGAGTTTTACCCATTGAAAAGACTGCAGATTCAACTTCCAGATATCTCCCAGGATCACTTCTCCATTATAGCCCCCACAAATAAATACATCTGCCAAGAAAAAAGAAAGCCAAGATTATACAACGGAAAAGAGCCAAAGCTACAGCATGCTTTACAGTAGTAGATCACATAGCTGGCTGACAGTTAAGTGGATTGTACCGTGAGAGAGGACTTCAGCTGTGTGTTCTTTCATGCTGCTGGCTTGTCTCTCAATAAAACTGGGACACTATGTCAGATTCTATTCGGACTAAGGATGCAAGCCTCCAAGGAAGCTCCATGTCAGGCTTCTCAAATTCAAATACCTCTAGGTTCCAGGCACAGAGAGGCAATGACAAGGGGGGCTAAGGGAAATAAACAGGAGGCCCAGGGGAAACAAGCTCTGAAAGAGGGGCTGGTTATGTAGCTCCAGGGCCAGTGATACCATGGAGGGATTTAGGGGAGTGACCAACTGCCGGATCTTCCATTTTTTCAAGAGAAGTTGAAAATCTGGGTTTGTGTGTGTGTGCGTGTGTGTGTATTAATTGTGTACTGAAACCAGGGCCACTTGACCACTGAACCACATCCCCAGTCCTTTTTATTTTCAGATAGGGTCTTGGCAAGTTACCCAGGCTGGCCTTGAGCTTGTGACCCTCCTGCCTCAGCCTCTCAAGTAGCTGGGATTATACATGTGTGCCACCATGTTCAGCAAACATTTTGATTCTTAAGAGTTGGTTACTAATACAAAAAAATTAATTCACACAGGATGGAAAACACCTATAGACCACCAGTTTTCAAACTCTTTTAAACAGTGTCCTGGAAAGAGCATTTATGTGCCCACAGAGACAACTGTCCTCCATGTGGACATTTAACCTGAGGAGAAACTCACTGCAGTGTGTAGTTCAGGGGGACAAGAAAGGTTTTTCCAGGCTTTCTTCAGCAGAAAGAAGGCATTCTGAAGCTCCATTTGACCTGCACAGCTTTGTCAGGGACACAATTTCTCAAAAGGAAAAGTGGATGTTTTTGTTTTTGTAAAATCAGTTCTAACTAGTCAACTTATAACAAAGGCTATGCGAACCTTCAGACTAAATGCCCAGAACTAAGGCTAAATTCCATCTGTATGGTTCTTGGTCTGAAAGAATCAAGTGAATAAATCTCTTAATTCAGTCTAGATTCAGTTTAAGCCAATATTTAATTAAACTATAAAATACTCTAAAAACTCTTTGGCTAGGATTGAAAAAACAAACAAACAAAAACTTGAAAGTACAGCTCCATTCTCAGAGGGGCAAAGCTGAACAATGCCACTATCTATAAATCTTATCCAAAACCAGAAGTACAATGAAAAGCCCATGTGTACTAGAGATGGCAGAATAATCCAAGTTAAATCTCAACTATGCTGCCAAAAGGATAATCTATCAAACTCATTTATATACACCTTCCTCCTAGGGAAAAAAGTGTAAGGAGATGTATCAAACTACACAATAAGCTGGTTATTCAAAGAAGAGTCACTTATCACACTTAGATAAGTAGTAATTGCTGCTGCTTTCTGAAGCCATCCAATGCCTTTGTTGTAATACGGCCAAAGAATAATCTCAGATTTCTTTTTTTTTTTTTTAAACAAAATTCACATTTTATTTAGATTGA